ACAGTCTACAATAAACGCTTGTCGTGACTTGACGTGTTTCCTTTCACAACACTATACCTCACATACTTCACTTATTTCCTCATATGTATTTTTATTTTTTAATGTTTGTTAGTTGGTTAATTACATATTAAGTGTTAGTCAGGTTAGTTTTGGTCGTGGGATTGTAATATGAATAAATATTACAATCGATTTTGGACTTTAATAACACGATTCTCAGTCGGGAAGCTTACTAACTAATTACAGATGTTCCAACAGGTATATGGGTAAAGGCCTCTTCTTTTTCTTTCCAGACATCTCTATTATAGCGAGGGTCATCCAATCCTGCCCTTCTTCTCTAACTACATATATCATTAGACCACAGTTTTGGTGGTCTGCCGATATTCCTTTTTCCTGCTGGCCCTTTCCTGTGGATCACTCTAATGGTCCATCTATTGGCCAGCTCATTGCCGTTTTAGTTTTAGTGCCTTGGTTAGTGAGTTCTATTAAATAGTGTAATTTACTTATTTACCTTTGAAATTTATTATTCACTTTTTATATTAGAAGATTTTTATAGTAAAAAGGGTAAGGGCTTTTATTGTCCTAAATAAAAATTCTATCCCAGTTTAAACTCATTCTTTATTAATTCAATAAACATAATTAATTATTTATAATGATAGGTATATCTAGTCACTATTAAGATCTTATAAATAATGATTACATAAGTACTAAAGGAAATGTTTCTGTAAGTAGATACAATTGAACAGAACGTTGGATTGGTTCATGACGTAAAAAATATGTGTTATAATAATGTACATAAACAATTCATATGTATTTATTACATTACAAAAATAATTCATATTATCTAGTTCCTGTCTATTGTTGAAAAAACAAACAAGTAAAAAAGGAGCCAAGTTCTATTTTTTTTGTTACACGTTTCATTTCATTTCTTATAAAACAATTGATCATTTTTAAATGTTAAAAATGAGATTGTTTATTTTAAGAACCTGAAACAAAATGTGTATTAGTTTCTAAAGAAAAAGTGAAGCAAAGATTTTTTTTTGTTTACATTGAGCGTCTGTTTGTAATGTAATAATATCAAAGAATTAATAGAAAAATGGAATGACTAAGAAGTTATACTCGCCATAACAGTGTTTGTGCTTAATAGAAAATAAATTTAAAATACAGAAAATAATTGTTAAAATTATTAAAATATTGTTTGCAATTTTTATTTCTTGTAAGTACAGCAAAAATCTATAAAATCAATAAATTTTATTCAATAATTATTTCAGTCTTAAAAATAAATTAAGTACCATAATATCTCCGAATAAGTGACGACACTATTATTTATTAAGTATAAGTATTTGAACCATAGGATTCAAATTGTTTTAATAATAAAGCAACACAAAGTACAAAGTTAAAATCGTGCAACTATATACATATAAATACAAATATTTCTGTTATTAAAATTACTTTTGCATACACCTATTGCATTGTTAAGTTAGTATGAACTGATAACTTTGTCATAGAGCATAGAAAAATGGAAAAAAATATTTCTTACAAAAGATAGGGGCTATGCTAGCGCCCCTGGTAGGTAATCATGATACTCAAGTATGATAGTAAGAAAATTATCTTTACCATTATTTTATAATCTAAAGACAAATAAATAACTCAAACAATGCTTTAAATCAATTCAATTATAATTTATTGTAATTTCCTTATTCACATAATTTCATTAATAAAAATGTAATGTCATAAATCATTAGGTAGGTACCTATATATTAATAAATTATTTTAAATTGCACATGATCATTTTAATTTAATTGGGGTTAAGAACTGAACTGACAAAAAATATGTTTGTATTTTCAAAATACATTATAATAGGTAATTGACCGGATAAGAAGAAACCAATACATATATAACATGAGCAATATATTACTGTAAAACTTGAGCATGTTTGTAAAAAAAGATAATATTGAAATATTTATTTCTTTTTCTTGAATCTATTTTTATTTCTATGTTGATAAGAATTTGCACACGTTTATTTTTTTGTATAATATACTCAAATGCATTCTAAAGAGAGCTTCGAATCTGTATAAGAATCACGCTCACGGCATGAGTATAAAAAAAAAGAAAACTTTTTTTTTGACTTGACGAGTTCACTGCCGTGCCCCCGACATTGGTATTAAACATTTATTCCAACGAAGTTCTCTTTAAATGTTGCAGTGTGAAAACCCACCAAATTATATTATATTAAGGCTGTATCGGTGTTACATAATTGTATAGATAAATAATAAATACAATTGACATTTTCTATAAACAAAGGCACTTTGCAAGGCCAGGTACTCTTAAGGCACAGAACGTTATTTAAGTACCAAATACTATTATTGCAAACAAAAAATACATACATATTACATACATAATAATACATTAAGTATATTACATTTAAATAATGTGATAGGTATTTTTATTATAAAATATTTTACTAAAAAATTCGTGAATTTTTCTTTTACTAAACACATACCTATTTAAATTATTCTAAATATTCCACCAGATCATGATCAAATCGCGTTTTGTTTACGCTACTGGGTACTGTCGACGATGACCGGTGAAACTTATAGCGTCTAGCTATTTTACCCACACAATTATCTACTATGTACATTCGACTTAGGGCTGATTTTTCAATAGTCAGATAAATTTTATCTGAGGAATAAAATTGTTGTTGTCACTGTTTTATACAAACATTCTAACGAGACAGCATCATATTATTTCCCAGATAACTTTTGTTGGACCATTGAAAAATCAGTCTTTAAGGAAAATATACTTTTAGATTTAGGTACACTTTGAGGTACATTGTTTGAACCTTGTTCTCTTCAAAACGTGAGTAAATAGGTCGTAGATGTATTTGCTTCCTCTATTTTTTTATTCGGACGGCCAAAGTGTAGACGGATTACCTGATGGTAAGCAATCGGCGCCGCCCATGGACACACACAACGCCAGAGGATTTACAAGTGCGTTGCCGGATTTTTAGGATTAGGGGGAGGGAAAGGATTGAGCCTACGGTAACCTCATTCACACGGCGAAACACAACGCTGTGGTTATTTCACGCCGGTTTTCTGTGAGTCCATTTTCGTTACCAAAGTTAAGCTCCATAAATACCAGTTACCGTAAATCTAAGACAGTTCAGATAACACGATAACTGATCTTGATCATATTAAAAAAATAATTTGCCAACCCGTGGTTTATTGAGAACAGATGACTATCGTTCCAAATACTGCTTATAAAATAGAATAGACACAATGGTAAAACAATGACCTATGAACAGATATAATGGATACTTTTTGGTCTGCCTCACAAGACTGTCTCAGAAATGAGACCATCTTTAGAAGGTAGATGCCATAAATATCCAAGTTAAATATGCCTTTAATAATTTATAAATCGTTAAGAGTTCAAATTAATCGAGTACCTAGATCTGAACGGGGTTGCGGGGTAAGCGCAATGAGGCACCGCGACCTCGGCCCAGAGCAGGAAAAGGAACAGGGGGGTTTTTAGTCAGACTCATTTAGGAGTCATTTAATGATTTTCCCCTCACAAAAAAACCTAGATCTGAAATCACGCTAGACATTACGCATCGACCGGTCAAAGTGACTCAAGACAAGTGTCAGTGGAGCCTACCAGCATTCAATAAACATAATGTAAATAATATGGCTATTAATGTTCATCATCATTATGTAGCATTTTATTTTCCTAATAAACTAAATCACCTGTTTTACCACGTTTCATTATATTATGAAGTAATTTTGATGTAGTTATGTAAAGACTGAGTAATATCGCCATTATGCATATAAAAAACCAATTATTTCATGTTTATTTTATGATGATATGTTTTTATAATAATCATTACCAATTTATGAAAAAGGCACAAGCATTAGGTATTAAATATATTTTTAATTTGGAGCACATAAATCTCAAAATAAATTTCGGATTACAATGCTTCTCTATCTTTCACCAACTCTTTAAGCTATCAATTCAGATTTTTTCTAATAGAAAAATCTAATTATAATGCTTTGTTCCCAATAAGGAATTTTATCCTTCTAACTTTCAAGACCAATAGTCCTTCTGGCAATCTTTTCCTTTTATTAGTAGCTTGATATAACTCAGCCTTTAAAAGATGTTGTTACCGACTGACCTGACCTGACTGTTGTTGTGTAGTTACCTATGTACGACGAATGAAAACAACAATCTAGTTAATTCGTATTTACCGTGGCAAAACAGGCGGTAAAACTAATTTTACACTTTAGGTGCACCAAACATCTCACTTAAAGTGAAGATTTACGTATTATAAGTACCAACTATACATATATAGTTTAGGTAATCTCAATTATTAAAACGTTATTTACAAATAAAGCAATGGGTAGGTTAAGTTGGGTTTCAAAATGGCTGACGTATTAAAATGGCGGATTACATGACTTATATCTACTAACGTTAGTGTACATTTTCGTTTCTAATCGAATCGTATTTATATTATCTATCGTTAGTCATCGAGGAACGGACAAAAGATGTTAATTCTCTTGGTTTTCTATCCGTTCAAACTTATCTGTTGTACTAAATCCGCCCTATCGATAAAAAAATGCCAAATTCCAAAATCTACCAGCCATTTTACAGTGAAAAACTAAAAAGACACAATAAAACATTAAAAATTAAACGTAAACTAACTATAAACAACCTAACTACGACACTTACTATCACTGCGATAGTATAAACATCACACGGTTTAAAAAATAAAATTAAAAAATAACCTAAAAACTCGGTGATTGCGAACGCGTCCGTACGGTAAATCAAGATGGCGGTCGCTGCTATGAATTTTGATAACGACAGATTTTTGTACAAAAGTATTAAAAACAAACTGTAGGCAGCTGGTAATGTTGATGGATAGTAATACTTGATGATAACAAGGTAGAGAGTTGATATGGTAGAGTGGTCTATGGCTTCATAGAGGCGCACCAAGAGTGGGATACAACAGATCACCGGTGAAAAAATCCGAGGAGCCGAGAGGTTCTGGTCGGTGGAGGCTGTTCTGGAAGCTTCCTTCGCTTCTCTTGTGTGGTCAGCTTGTGTTTCATCTGCTCGTCGATGAGCTCCTGCATGTCCATCTGGAAATAAACCAGTAGATTAAGTAAGATCTTTACTAGCTAGCTTCGAGAATTGTACAAATGTTTTTTCGCAGTTAAATGGACATGGCACGAATGGTTCGGCTCGACCGGATTCATATCACGACCTCACAGAATATAGGCGTGAAACAACCACAGCGTTGTGTTTCGCCATGTGAGTGAGGTTACCGGAGGCCCAATCCCGCTCCTTCCCCTATCCCTTCCCGATCCTTATATCCGCAACCCTTATCCCCAAAAGGCCGGGCAACGCACTCGTAACTCCTTTGGTGTTGCGGGTGTCCATGGGCGGCGCCGATTGCTTACCATCAGGTAATCCGTCTGCTCGTTTGCCGGCTTATACCATAAAAAAGTGACCACGAAACGAATTAACAGGGAACGAATATGACTTTTCATATTGGTCCTTATTATCTATACACCTCCTACGTACCGAAGGACCAAAAATAAAACACTCAAATTCGTAAAGACCTTAAACTTGAAAACCTTACAACACCATTTTATTTAGTTCCACAATGTTAACATTTTGGTTACTGTTCCAACGGTTCTTTTAAAATCAGTCAAGCCTTTTACGAAGCTTAAATACTTTACGTTAATCTTGTGAAGTTAGATCCAGTACTTATGATTAGGAATTAGTAGAGCGAAACTGATTTTGGAAAGTAAAACATAATAAAATTCTAGCTATGAATCACAAGAGATGAAACCGAATATTTCTCGTAAAAAGACCTGTAACATCTGTCGGCACTTCTTTTATTTATTTATTTCTATGGATATTTTCATCGTGCAGTAAAGAAACGTGATAGCGGTAATGAATACTGAACTCTTTATTGTTGTCATAAAATATTTGATATATTCTTTCGTCTATTTGTACTCATTCATCAAGAAAACCTTCATCTTAATAGGAAGGTTTTCTTTTACGTAGAGGTGAAGAGTAAGATCTTTTAACCCTAGCATAGCCCTTTGGCATTTTAAACCTGATAATTTAAGATTTCTAAGTCTTTTATTTTATTTTATGCTAGCTTCTGCCCGCGCCTTCACCCGCGTGTGCATGTTAATAATTTGATTAGTTATTTCGTCCTTTTTATCTTTTCCTCATCAATAATAACATATCCAAACTCTGTCCTATCTGTCGGGTACATACCTGCCACTGTTCGAGCTGCTGCCCAAGGTCCACCTTCTGGCGCACAGCTTCATACAGTTGACTGTTGGCCTGCATTAATTCCACCCTGGTCTTGGCTAGAGCCACCTGAAACATTAATTAAGAACATTATAAATATACATTCAAGTACAAATGCCAATAAAATTGTTGTTTCTGCTGAAAATTAGCAATGTTGATGGATTTGATTGTAATGACTAGTGTCACTTAGCCTTTTTATGTATGCTCACATATATTAATAAGGGGAACAGATTAGTAGACAAAGGTTTTGACGCCTTTTTATTATGTAAATGTGCTCAAGGTCTGATTGTCAGTATAAAGTCTTTTGCTTCATAGGAAGGTGATAATTCTTCTGTCCTGGTTAAATTTCTTACCTCAGCAGCCTTCTTCCTCTCGATGGCCTCGTCTCTCTCCTGCCGAGCCTTGGTAACGGCCTCATCGTTCTGCAAGCTGCTGTAGTTGGCATCATTCAGCAGCTTGTCACGCTCCTCGGCGGCTGCACGAAGTTCTACTTCTGCTACAGACAGCTGGAATAGAAGAATGGAATAGTTAGCTATTTTAACAAGTAAAAGTACAACGATAGGGATTTTTAGGATAGGATTTTTTTGAGATGTGCTAGAAGCTTATTACGAAATCTCGTTTTCTTGGAAGTAAACGTGAAAGCAAACACCAAACCCACAAACTGTTCTGTGGTAACCAAATGGCTTATGAACACCCAAAAACACTCAAATTGGCTCTGAACAGAGATGTTCCATTCAAAATGTAGATGTAGATATTCATAAACATATCCACATAAAACATTGTTTTCTTCGTACTTCTCACGGTATGTATCCGCATTGAGTTGAGTTTCCGCGAATAGGTCGAACTCAGTTCTGTAGCTATTGTTTTACGATTGCGACGCGTATCGTAAACCACCGTGATTTCGTTTGAATCAAGGAAATGGTTTAGATGTACTTTGATTTGTTTGGTGCTTTGATACTGTAAGTGTCTGTAGTATACAATATCTTTAGGTGTATTGAACTCAAGCTCTGTCACCAAGAAAGGCATATTTTCATGCAGCTTGGATGCATTTGTTGAAAACCCGCCCCAAACTTTTGAGATAAGTTGTCAAAGGAAATATCTACCAATCGATTCTTTCATCTTAAAACAAATCATTCATGAAGTAAATGCCGCGTTCTGCAAGAAAACGCAACACAGACAATTGAAATTCAAATAAAAATCGCCTGTAAACTTTCAACCTTGAACAAAACAGCATAATATGATCTCGGCCATTATAAATGACCAAATAAAAAAAAAGAAAGTGGGGCATTGCGTGTTACCCACACATTTATGGCAGATCATTGCTAATGTGAGAACTAGCCTTAATGCATAATTAAAAGTACGTAAAAAAAGACAAAATTGTCTTTGTTATAAGGCGGGAGACACATTAGCTGTGGTTACGCGGTTTATGGATAACGACGTAAGAAAATAATGATGTCGTTGGTTACGATCGATGTGTTATTAAAATCGTAATAAAAAGTCGTGACGGCAAATCTAAAACAGGCTTTGTTTAGTTTCAAACTGCACTGAATCATCGTTTTCAGGAAATACATGAGTCAATTCTGTGTGTAGTGGAAAATGTACTTCCTAGTTCTTGCTGATTTTAATAACAGCGGGTAAGTGAGCAAAGTAAGGTTTATCTACCTACAGTTATAGTGTTGGGGGAAAACCCCATCTACAGCCATTTAGATATTCATTTTGTGTTTAAATTACTTAGAAGAATCAAACCATTTGTTGCTACAAACGCTTTTAATTTATGTACCACCTTGTTAGTAAAAATTAAAATCAAAATGCATTGTATCAAGTACGCAGCCATGGACCATTGATACGAATAAGTTAAATCATTTAAACACGCCAAGTCTTGAAATTTAAGATCAACAAACCTTAAAATCTACTCCAAAGCAAATCTAAAATAAGAAAAAAAAGCCTATAATTAAACAATCACCATTTTAAAAACACCGGACCAAAATGGCGGACAGGCGGTACAAAAAAACGCGCGAATTCTAACAAAATGCCTACTGTACGTTGTTGGCTTGTTGGCGGGGTGATTGACCTAAGTGACGTGTTTCTGACGTCACTGGGGTCACGCCATGCGGCTAGCTTGCAGTCTAGTCTATAATTCTAGATCTCTAGCTTAGATTAAGAGTTCAGGTTATAAGATTTTATGAATTCAGTGCTGTTGATGTGATTTTACAACTGGTTTTTCTTAGGTTTCATTGTAGTTTTTTTTTTTTTTTATTAAATTTTCAAAAACAATATTAACAGGTTTTAACTGGTTCAGCATCACTTAAACCTCTCGGGTTTGTGTGTGATACTATTATACTATTCTATTCGTCTCACACAATAATTTTACATAAACTTAACATTAAACAACTTTATAACAAAACAATCAATCAATCAACACACTGCCAAATACTTTACAAGTAGTGGGTTCTTAGAAAATAGTCCGCATTGTGTACCTAAAATGTACTCCGTAGTGTTCTGTTACATATTTGCGAAGAAATGTGTTCTTAATTTATATTTTATGTTATTTTTGTTTATAGCATTACGTATATCAGTTGGTAAAGAATTTAATAATCGAGGTATTAGATATGCACTCGTTTTTGTGCCGTAGAAATTTTTTGCAGATATGGTGACAAGTTTTTTTTGTGCTACGCTCCGCGTGTATACAGGATGTCATTTTTCGAACTTTATTGACTCATTGAAAAATTGTTCTTTAGTTAAATGAGCTGCCTGACTTGACAGTTTCTTTGGTGGTTTATTACAAAAATAAAGCATGCATTTGTCATATTTATCAACATTCTCTGTCCAGGTACGGCCATTTGCACTAGCTATGTTCTATAGTCCTATATTTTCTCTATTAATTTTATTGTACATCTCTATCTTTGCTTGTTAATATGTGCTTTGTCATATGAGTGAGGTTACCGGACGTCCAATCTCTCCCGAATCCCTAGATCTTCCTAATAAAAGGCCAAGGCCCCAAAAGGTCGCTCCCCCCTTGTTGCGGGTGTCCAAGTCAGTGAACGTGAACAAGTCTACAGGGGTTTATTTTTTTAATGCTATATTTAGGAGTATACGAAATGTCACCGCTATTTTTTTTTATTTTCTATCGATGTTCACGCGTGTCATTGTGTCGAATTACATACATCCTTAGATGTCAAGGTTAATAAGGTATTACAGAAACGTGATCTCTTAACAAACTTATAAGGATTATCTTGTAGTGAATTTAAGTGGTTTCCTTAGTAAGTAGCCAGATTACAGAGACACTATCGTCGGACGAACAATATGGCGGACATACGTAGGCGGTAATAGGATAAAAGCCCGCGAAATGTCACGTTAAATAAAACTTACGACGCGAATTTTTGTAGCTGGCTGAATGTCGTACTTTAAAGATGTTTTTATTTTTTGCGCGTTTAGTTGTTATGTAGTTATTATTGATCACTGCTTAAAAGGCATTTGTATAACACTGATTATCTAAAATGGCTAAGTACCGATGATAGAGTATTAATTGTCTACACTAGACATACCTTATAAAAGTGTTAGGAACTTACTGGCTGTAGGTAGCTTCCAACCATTGGAAAAAATATAAAAGTACAAATATATGGTCGACTTGATCCAATAAAACAATGAACGTTACTCAAATAATTTCCAGAAATTATACAATACAAGAAGCCAAGACTATCAAACCAACCATTTCAATTTCTGCATGTCTACATTCCCTTGACCTTGACCATTTAATTTAATTGTACCGATTTTATCTCTGCTAGCTCTTAATTGAAGCGTAACCAAGTATTTATCGGCGAATAAATATTACAAAATCAGGTCGTATCAGTTAATTAGTTACAATCACTAATTGCAAAACTTTTTATGACATTACAGATATGAAAGAAGGGGAGATTGGAAATGTTGTGATGACCAGAAGATTGTAAGGAAGGGGAAGTATGGGAAGGGGAGGGCCAGGAAGACAAACAGCAATGACAGTAACTATAGGTTAAAAGCCCCAAGAATTGGAAGACCAACCAAGACGCGACAGCATCAGACTTAGATAGTAGCTGATTTTTAGCATACTCAAAATAAAACACAAGGCAGAAGTGAACTTACAGTACGCAATTTTGCGTCATACAAGCTATTTATTAGTCATATTATAAAATGTTATTGAGGTGAGTCTAATATCAAACAATCCGTCCGATTAACATCACCAGTGACAAAGGTGGGCAGTGACTATAGCCCTTCTCTGCCTAAAAGAGAACCCTGTCATGCGAAATTTAAAAAACACTAAGAACAAATTCGAAGCGCAAACTTGGGATCAAAATCCATCAGCTTCTAGAACTTTAAATAAAAACAGCAACATTAATCGCTGGCTCCCGTTTTACAAATATTACACGATGAACAGACACCCGGAACGAGGCCTGTGCACTGCAATGCATTTTGCGTCACCCTCCGTTACAGACATTAATTTGTTGCGTAAAGCGTTTAGCTCATTTGCTGTTTAAACAGCATTATGTAATGAATATTCTTCTTCTAAATACGTGACTCGCTTTGCATTGTCTTTGTTAAGATCAAGATAATTGTTTAATGATTGAAATATGGTAACCGTGATGGTTACTGCTCGTTCTTTTTCATCTACCATTTTGTAAATGACTTAATTTATTGAACGAAAAATAAATTCTTCCTTTAAATTCAAAACTGCCTTTGATGGTGTACTAAAAATAAAAATTGCACAGTTTGAGTTGAAGAGCTGGGAGACTGACAGAGTTTTCTTAACTCTACTAGAATTCCTTTAAAGATTATGTATAGTTTGTTTCATTTTGAATGTTTATTCATTCGTTTTCTATTCTCTTTGTCACTTTCGGATTGCTTAAGTTTATGTAGCAATAACCATTATTCTATACCCTCTCTAATCTGTTTACGAAGGTTGAACCAACATGACAAATATCTAGATCATTAGAATGCCATATGAGTAACACACAAACCTACGCACATGTGCTGTGGACAATATCCTAACGACCATCCTTGGCGGTGAGGTACACAATAAAGAACTGGTTCTCGTTAAATGGAAGTATTTGGAAATTGGTGAGGTCATGCTTAGGAACAATGAGGGCGTTCCAAGCTAGATAGGAGCGACTGAGCTAGATTTTATATACGTGATATAGTGTAAACCTGTCGTTGGATGTTTTTTTTGTCTTGTCGTTTCAGTTTGATAGTTGGAAGGGTATTTTTAATTATGAGGTTGAAGGTATTTCCTTTCTAGACAAATGACTTTTAATGCTAGCCGAAAGAGTAAAGATATAGGTAAGTAAGTGACTTGACATTATTTGTTAATTCTCTTTTCTATTCACTTGTTTCGACTATGCCATTTTTCTTGGGGTTGAAAATACCTACTACATAATTACCGGAACCGCACCAATCAATCTACTTTAGACCAAAGACTATAATGTTATAATTTAAAATAACAAGTTCTATTTACGTCAAAATTAAATTCAATCGTTTAACAACTAAACACCGACCACTGGCCATCGATCTAACCGAATCGATTTCGCATTAAATCGATTTAAATCGGTTTAGAGCACAAACGGTATTTCAATTGGTCTAACGTGCAGTAACTGTTGTCGACGTATAGGTATCGAAAGTTAACTGTAACGATGAAATCGATACCTACTGGTTTATGTTCATGTGGTTTGCAATGGAGAGTGAGGGTGATACATAGTGGAATTGTACCTGAGTCATACAGACCTACTGTCAACATTTTTTCTATAAAAAACATGGCCTCTTTTTAGCTCATTCTTCTGTGTTTTAGTTTGATACATCAAACCCCAAGCAAACGCTGGCGTTTGCACACATATTTTTGTTCTTTTGTATGTATAATTGCCACGATTGAAAGTTTAAAGACACACGAACTCACAGGCAGACCAGAAACATTATTATGTAACTCACACTAAGATTTTTTGACGGTAATCTAACCCGCGACCCGTTACGCTGCAGTCTATTGCTCAGGAATTGTGGCAACCTGGCAGTCTAATATCTGTTATCTATGACTGACAGCTCCACCTAGCCTATGACCAAAATGAATTAATCTCTAAAAATGAAGATGCAATACAAGAATGAGGTCTTTTTGAGACATGGAAGTAGACTTACTAACTTATGGATTTAGCCTATTTTATAGAGCCTCTAAATTTATGTAAGTTCCTAAATGAACTCTGTACCCACCGAATTCAATATTTTTAACATATTAGGGTGAAATTTCTTTACAAAGGCAAATACTAAGTTTAAATCCATAAAACTACAAATCACGAAACACGTATTGGTCAATTGAGTCCCATTTATCACAATTCGCACGTGAAGGTAAGCAAAAATTGCCACATCACCGGCGATTGTGTCCTTACGGTAAAATATCAATGTGTATCGGACATCGATCAATGCCTTATTGAAGCCTTTGTTGACATTTTTTGTTGTCCTACGCCAACCGTTACTTTAGGTCGTAACATTGAATTGAAATTTTGGCACGTGATTAACTGTTTGTACAGGTTTTTGTATTTGAAGGACCATTCAAATTTACACAAAACAGGATTGTTTTGAATTCGTCTTTCTACTAAATTTTGACGATTTTAATTTTGGAAGTAATGATCCAGCCTTATCTTAGATATTATAATCAGTCCACTGCTGAACAAATGGCTCCAAACTCCACCACTCCAAATGGAGAGTTCAGTCGTGACCGACTTCCGTCCGTCGTTTGAATTCCGTGTGAACGAAATATTTTTTTATCTGTGAATTCCTTCGGTGGCTTGAGGTGGTGAGGAGAAGCTTTTTCGGCTAATACAAATCAGGAAGTATCAATACTAACCTTAGAAGAAAGATCAGCAATAATTTCGTTCTTCTCATCGATCTGTCTCTCTCTTTCTAACGCCCGACGCGCGTGCGCTGCGATGGAATCTCGTACGCGCGATCCTTCAAGCGTAGCGTACGCGGCGACAGCGTCTGCACACGCGGCGGCGAGTGCTCCACGCCTTAGCGTCTCACCTTCTTCACCGTCCAGTGATGTGAGGGATAGATCTGAGTGGAGACCTGGAAGAATAAAATAAAATAATTATTATAGTAGGTATATCAATTACTCTGTTTTGAACAATGTTTAGATGTGGTGCATCTAATGATGAATAAGGTATAGATTGAGATCGATATCTGGATGCGTTTGTTTTTTTTTTAAGTCCAAGGTCGGTAAACAAGCATACAGATTAACTTATGGGTGAGCAATCAGCGCCGTCCATGGACACTCGTGGTACCAAAGGAGTCGCTACAAATGCCTTACCTGCCTCTTGTGGGTTATTCGGGATTTAAGGATAGGATTTGAGGATGAGGGGATGGGGAATAATTGGGCCTCCCATAACCCCACTCACACGGCGAAATACAACGTAAATGTTGCTTTGGTTGAGCGATTTAAAGTTCAACATACTAAAAAAAGTGCTACTGCAACAGCGGACGGTAATGCTCAACTTGATGTAAATATTATGTAAATTGGTCCCATATTTATATTACAAATAAACGTCAATAAGTGTCATAATATTTTCATAACAATCATACAGGGAGAAAGATGAGATGTAACGAAGCAAAATATTATTGTCATTCATATTATTGTTTGGAAGTATTAACAGGATTTTGAGTTAGATATTTGTTATTATAACCTAGAGGGAACTGTCCCAAGGAATAAAGAGCAAGGAGTCATAGAAAATGATTAACCTGCACTCGGCTCAGAATATGGACCTGTGCTGACTGTACCTATACTAATTTCATTTGAGTCCTAATAAAAAACCCTTGTAGTCTTAGTTTAGTTAGCTTATTGGTTTTGTGTTACCTCAATCAATTTGTTGACACACCGATAAAGTAAGCCAAAACAACTTCTAATTATTAATGTATTCCAAGGACAAACTCTATTTTTACATTTTTACCCTTGCATTATTTAAGAATCAGCTTACAGCGATGAAGTTTTATCTTGGACCTGGTACACATAAACTACTTAAGATAGATAAATGTCTCAGAGAAGTTGAACCTCATCATCAGTCTATACGTGCTTACTGCTGAGCAACGGCCTCTTCTCACACGGAGAAGGTTTGTGCATTAATCATCACGCTTACTCAAGGCGGATTGGCGATTTCAAACTTATAATTAGAAATTATTAGTTTCCTCACTATGTTTTCCTTCACCGTATGTCAGAGGTGTCTAAATAATCATAGAAAGTACAAATACCTCAGAAATAGTTACATTGATACTTGCCAGGTTTCGAACCCTTATGAATAAGAAGCGAGGGCCTTAACTTCCACGTCACCACGGTACACGAGAAGTTGATGCCTAACCATTAATAAACAAGCAAACTCAAGAACAACATGTCAAAAACTGGGTCAAAATGAACCAAAATTCACACAATACTAAAGAAAATATAGCAGGTACCTACATAATGATGACAGAACTTTCACTATTATCCACTTTCCCATAGTTTAAGCGTTGAACGATGAACAATTTCGCGTATTCAACACGGAGCATCAGTAATCACGGAAATGTTAACAATGAGATCAGGGATTGATGGATGATAAATCGATGTCATTGAAGATCATTTAACTGGTATGGTAAAAAGAGGAAGAAATTGGTAGCTATTAATGATACACTGTCTGTTTGATCGTGTAGTTGTCGTTAAGACAGCTTAGCTCGAGGGTTTTCAGATTCTTTCCCTCGTGAGAAGTATTATCATTGAGTGCCGCTAGATGGCGCTGTCTAGCTAGGACGAAATCCGAAGTGTTCTGTGTTATTTTAATTAGAAAAAATATAAATATTTTAAATTATAATGAAAACAAGTTTTTAAAGGGCTAGATCGGAAGATTAAATAAGTTATCGCCCGAATTGGGGTTAGATTGTTCTATACCTAATTTATAAGGAAAAATATCGACGAATTATATGTGCTTTTTTTAATAACAATAAATGGTCATTGATTTTGATTTTAGGGAGGATTCGATATTGGCGAAATGTTACATGAAAGTTATCAAACGTTTCCATTGCTATGTAGCCAAGAAATTACCTTATACCAAAATATATAGCATGTTCTACTTCAAGTACTAGCTACGTATACTGTGTTCATACTAGACGATTCTTATCAAAAACAATATTGCGTGACTTCGCTTAACGTTGCTGAAAAAATATCGACAATAAGTCCCTGGGGATCAGTGACCGTTGTTTAGAAATCAGTGTAATCTTACTAGATGGTTGAGAATAGTTGGTATTATGGAAATTAAAATAAAAAAAACAAATCATTGACTTTACATACAAACCAAGTCAAACCAAAACCATTTTTGGAAGCAGAAACTACCGAAGATGAGAACTATAAGATAAACAAAACCGAAAATATGGAACATTTTCATGTTCCTGTAACTGGGGATGGCAAAGAATTATCAGAATGTAGCATTTTAGACTGTGTTAGAGATATGATACGGCATAATTTTGAAAATCAACCTTCTTCCCAAAGTAGGTCGGTAAAATATCATATTTTGAGGAAGTTTCTAGAACGATTCGTGGAAAATGTGCAGTTGTTCGGAAAGTGCACTTGGTTTTGTAATCAACTGCAATTAGGTAGTTGCGAAATGAGCAAGCTGTTTACACTGCAGCTAAATTCTACTGTATCGAGTTCCTACTGTATTGAAATATTGAACGAAAGTTATTTACAAATGTAGTTATTTCAAACATCATAATAAAAAGCAAAAAGGGAGAAGACGTTTTTATGTATTCGTTGTAATACAATCCAATAAACAATAAGTAGGAAGCAATTCCAAAATCCTTATTAATATTAAAACAGACCCCAAAACCATTAACCCAACGCAGGATTCCGAACTAAACAATTCTTCCACACGCGTAAATTTTTTTTCCATTCGCGGTTGAATATGATCTATATCATCATCATCATCATCATTATCATCATCATCATCATCATCATCACCAGTCCACTAAGGAAAGAACAAAGGCTTAAAGAGTTAATATAAAATACTTAAGTAAAAAAGCGAACTTGCCATACATTTTTGACTTTGACTTTGACTTACAAAATTGTTTTAACCAAGGTTTGGTAAAACTGTAACAGTTACAGGTTTACTTCAGAAATGATGTCATGAACAGTCGCGTGGTTCGGAGCAAGGCACCCCATGACACGACCGGCTGCCAAACACCGCCCGTTGGTAAAATAACACCAAAAACTATGGGCATTTTATTCATATACTTCTGTGCTATTTTATGGTTCGTTTCCAAAAGGTTAGATAATGCTAGGTTTAGTACTAATTCTTTTATAATTTTTGGCAATATTAAACTTGGTGAGGTTATACCAATCAAATCAACAAGGTGGAACGGATTAGTATTTGTGGATTGTAGATGGCTTGAGATGGACGTTTTATGTGTTGGAAAACCATGCTTTAGCAGGAATGGTCTGACTCAATCTGACTGATACAGTGGTCCCACAGAAAACCAGTGTATACCAACGTTTGCATTGTCTGACGCTGCGTCAGTGAGGTTACCTGAAACACAATCATGTTTTCATCCAACCCCCTAAATAACCCAATCCACAAATTCCTTATCCCCAAAAGGTCAGCAAGCAGGTACAACTGCAACTCATTTTGTGTTGTGGATGTCCACGGGAAACCGATTGCTTACCACCAGCCGATCTGAACGCTCCTTTACCGTTCTATTTTATTAAAAAAAGACCGACTTTTACTCGTTAAAAAAAATATTTGGCAATGTTTTATTTAAGTAGGTAATTAATTCAATATTGTGCCTTGTGATCTTTGAAATAGTATTTAAAACAAAGAGTTTTGAATAGTAAAGATCGTGATGTATATCGAAGCTTATAATTTTCGTAAATCGTCTTAATATTTTTAATGTTTCCGTATAGTAATCCAGGAACAGACTACGAAGGTCACACTTAATATTGTCTGCAGAATTGCGTATATACTAGCGGTGTATTGCCACATAGCAGACTTATTGCAGTAGAATAAGTACTTAGCTATAAATATATTTAAAAGATTGAAGCTTTCTTGTGAATAATGAATTAACATGACCTGTCCATAGCTTCACTGAATGTAATTTTTGCAGTGTTTTGAACCATTTATTTATTAGCTCTACAAATATAATAAGAACAGTCTGTTCTTATCAAAGTTATTTGATAGTAAGGTGTGAAAATAAAGAATGATTGAGAACAGACACAGTAGTCATTGTTAAACTAAATTATATCTTTTGTAAATTGGTTTGCTCAGTTGCCAAACAATAGTTACTGTTTCTCTACTGAATCAATAAGTATTTTCGTATACGTTTTCTTAATAACTTCAGACTGTACGTGTGACGTCGCTCTTAGTAACGACAATCTTCAACAGATGGCAGCACCAGTCCTACATCACGCAAGTGAAGTTTGCAAGAATAATAACTATAATAAGCACGGATAGAAAATCCCAACGTAGAACTGTTGGACAGTATCCCGCCTGGCTCATCACCTCGCCTGGTCGAAGGATCCTCCCTTAACCGATCTTAGGGAAAATAACTGCCTGTCCCCGAAATACGTATTGGTTCATGGAAAATGATCGTTTAAGATGTGTCGATATTTGTAAATACATGGATAATTAAAATAATGATAGAAGAGATGATTCCATTGAAAAGTTATGAGATCATTGATTTAAATCAGCAGCATAGAGAGAGAGGTTCGTATAATCAGTTTATTGTGTGACCGTCCCTCGCAACAAATACTCATTTTTTCTCGTTATTATAAGTGATAATGGCAAAATGATAACGTATTGGTTTAAGGTGACAATGGCTATTACTTTCTAATTAAAATTTGCAACGATGAGTCTGGATAGTGTTTTCCTCGTAAAGCCATTTCACAATTCCTATTCGTGACTTCCCCCTACAGGTCTATTTCTACAATCTTTTCATTGTGTCACAACGTCTGCTGAAATGAGATGTTGAGATTTCTAGAGAAAAAAAAAAAGTTACTTGATGGCTGGTTTCTATTAGCTCATTATTTGCCTCTTATCACTTGAAGGAAGAGCTTAAAAAATATTGTAGGTACACTAACATTAAATAAAAACAAAGCAGATATGAATTTAGACTACAATTTTCTCCTGCGTCGTGGGTGCAATGAAATTCATTATTTTTATATTTAATTACGTTCTATCTTTATACACTCTTTGCCCAAAGTCTGTGTTAACTAAATCTTCTGTTGTTCGGCTACAGTATTGGTATGGTTGGTGCCCTACAAACGGTCACGCGAACTGAGGCTACATTTAACTGGTTATTTATGCCGTTCCGTGCAGGAAGTCTACTCGTGGGCTATTTATTTTTGTTAGTCAACTTTTTTTTAGGTATAAGTAAATAGTAAAAGTTGGTGGAATCAATCACAGAATGCTCTCGGTCGATATAATGGGAAAGGTTAAAGATCACTGGGACAGGAAAAGTATTATTTCAGTGACCAGAACAATACTAGCTCGCAGAAAACTGACTTGAATTAATGCTTGCCATTCCCATATCTCTAATAACCCCTAATAAAATGGCATCACCGAAACCTCAATCGCCTAAAGGCCGGCAACGTACTTGTAAATTCTCTGGTGTTGCAGGGGCTTAACATCGCGAAACAGAAACTTTCTTAGAAGTCATACAGGACCGCAATAAATGATGTTCTTTTTCTACTCTGCCCTACAAACATCAAATCATCTAAACTTCTTTAAGAAGCTACATTTTTAACGTACACTTATACTTTAAGCGTAAGAAGTATTATGTCCTATTAAAACATGCTTCGAACCCAGTCACTCAAAGCTATTACAAGTGCTTCTATAAATTGTAGCTAAACAAATTAGTGAAATTAAAAATGACGCAATAACTATATCGAGGTGGGACTTGTTAATGGTCTAACTTGAAAATGACGCACAAGTGTAAAACTATAGGTACACAATCTATTATGATCTTTATTGTTTAGACAGTAAACGCCATATTATTATATCTGTTGGTTTTCAAATTCCATTTTATTGTCACTTTTATTCTTAAGTAGGTGTTTTTACTTCTTCTTCAAGAAGGACACAGAGCCAAGTGCGAGGTTTCTGTAAGGCTATTGTACCGTTTATGACGTTTTTAGTTGTGATTGGCCATCAACAAGTTAACCAACCAATCAGGGAACTGAACACGGTAACGTTCTAAACTTTTTACGTTAATATTTAAATACGGAATTGTCTTTTGAAGCAAATAATTCCATTGGATTGTAATTTAATACAATTAGAAATGAAACCAATGGACAAGAACCGTAGCCAATATGACTGTACTGACTATATTTTCAACCTGGGTATAAGATAGGCTTACAATCCGCATTGAAAAACACAACAATTGGAAAATAAATTCAACATGTAATAGATATTTATTTGTAGATAGATCTAATACAGTGTTTATAGTCGTAAATAATTTGTGCGCCGTTAGCCCAAATAGGAATGTACATTGAACAATACGGATCGATAAGTTCGCGTGTTGTCCAAACTGTTATATTTATTGAGGCTATTAGGTATTCCTTTGACGTGTACCAACGTTTACAAACCATCGATTTTTATATAAAACTATTTATATCATGTCTTGCTTTTATTCTGCGAAGAATGTGGTAGAATTTGACTGGTAATGTTGACACTCACTAATTCTTCTCTTCCCGCAAAGTGTTATGATCCGACAAATGCACACATGGTAGATCTATTTTACAAAAAAACATGGTAAAACTTGACTGATGATTTTGACACTCTAGCTCACTCAATAACCTAGAATAAATAAACCACTGTTTTTCATGCCGTGGGGTGTTAAAAGCTGACAAATGAGTACCATTTTACACACTAATATCCAATTGTTTAGAAGATTTTGTCAAGCTCTCTTATGAGCCAGTAGCCAGCACTCCAGTCGAGGACAGAGATACCAAACTTTGAAGTTGGTGTTAATGATAACTTTACATAAATTTATGCTACTTCTATTCTTTAACCAGAATTTATATCCTACTCTATTATTTGATGGCAGAGGGCGCGTTGGGCGCACAAGCCCTAGTATTCAACTGATTGCGCGACATAAATAAGAGTCCCCCTTTGACTTGAAACTAGTCGAGCTTTCTCAGTTAATGTACGTGAGTAAATCGTTATTTTCAATAAATTCAGATTTTTTATTTTTGGAATTCCGTAAAAGAAATGACACGTCTTTGAGGAAAAGACATAGGTATCACAATATTATGATATCAGTGCCTTAAGAATGGAGTGACCTACTTCCAGGACAGACTGATACGGGATTTTCACTAGAAGACAGACGGACAGACCGACACATATAAAGTGAACCTTATGATATCTTTTTTGCTTGACGTTCAAAAGTGCCTTTTGTGGTCTACTTGAAATAAAGAATTTGATTTGATCGATTTTATTTGATTTGTAATACTTCGACTAACAAAGACCACAAACCTGAATCATCATCGTGACCGGTGTTCAATTGTAGCGCCAGCGCTCTCAGCTGCTTGTAAACCTGGACAGCTTCGCTCCTCAGCCAACCATCGTCCTGGTCTTCTGGTTCCGACTCCATTTCAGCGTGAAGAGACCTGGCAGTGTCTGTGGTGTCAATAGGATCTGGTGCTCCGATCCTCTCAGCTAATGTGTCATGGGATCTTTGCAGGCGTTCCAGCTCTTTTAAGGTGTTCTGGTAGAGGTGTTCCTGGAACAAATTGGGGGTTAGTTGAGGGTTTTTAACAGTTTTGTTCGTATTGGTGAGAAGTGATCGAGTGTAACTTTGAACGAGACATAATTATTAATATTTATTTAAATAAAACATTTTCATTATTGGCTGTGTGCATCTAGAGAGAGGTCGTGAATTTGTTACTTAATGTTTTGAATATATCTACTTTTTTAATTTGTTTTTTTTTTGTAATAACATAGGATCTGGACTGAAAGTCAGCATGGTATGTGCGTTATAGGTTTACAATTGGTTTGACCACCTATTATTATTACTCTTTTAGTCTCCTTCCATTTTTGGGTAAAATGGACCATAAACATGTAAGTACATCTGCATCTATCCACCTTTTAATGAATATGATATCCTGACTGATACTACATAGTATAGAACAAAGTAGCTTTCTCCATTCCTATATTCCCTCTCTGCGCTTAAATCTTTAAAGTTTTGCAACGGTTTTTGATGCGGCTTTTTTAATAGATATACAGTGATTGAAGAGGAAGGTTATAAATTTAGTATCGGTACTGCAACCATTCTGAAGCTGGGACGGGTTGCTAGTACGATAATTAAACTTTATTATTTATCTATACCTACGTATAGATAAATAATTAAGAATAAATAATAGATAAATAATAAAGTTTAATTAAATTATCTTCAAGTTATTAAGTCAACGTGATTATCAGAAGCGAAGTAGCACGCAGGTAAAGTTGCACAATAGACGTCGATCAGGTGTTTGCCAAGGCTTCAGTAGGTATTTGTTTTAGAACACCTGTTTAACTAGACACTTCTTGTTCTACAAAATGTCTGTCTGTACTGTAGTCATTGACGTATTTTCTAGTTTTGCAAAACCATATTCTTTTTAGACGTCATCACTGTGTATTGTTTGGTATTGAACACAAATATTTTTAACTCGGTCTGTTTATTTCGTGGTAGGTAGGTACTTGTTTTTGATCGTGACTTTTTTCGTATGCACATCTGATTTAATTTTTTTGGAAATTTGCTTACCGTTTTTTTGTGGAGGGAAAATCGTCACATGACTTCTCGCGACCAGGATTCAAGATTATGAACTTGAGTAGGTATTTCGAAATCTTTTGTGGTTTTTTGAAATCTTTATTTGAGATTTACCTATTTGTTTAGTAGTCAAAAGGATTAAAGGTGAGTACAATGTTTTCTTTTGTATTTAATTTGGAATTTTTAATATTCACGGCCAAGTAGAGTAGAAAACAAGGAAATGTCAATAGCATACTGCAAAACTAAAATTAAAAAAATGAAACAAAAGAACCACGGTAACTCAATGTAACATAACCTTGCAGTACATAAAGGTATCATATATACAAGGACGATTACAAAGACTCCAAGCATATTGAATTACACTAAACTGACAATAGATTTTGGTATTTATTTTAGAGCAATAAAACTGAAATTCGATAGTACAATTTTGGCAGATACGACTACGTCAACTTGCTGCTTTCTACAATATAATTAAGACCGTATTCTTTTGTTACAAAGTTGGAAATCCATTAAAGATTTTGACAGATATGGGTAGCTTCATGTGCTGGTGTCTCAAGAGATCACTGGCCAAGCAATTAGCCAATAGTAAAGACCTTCGAACCGAGATTAGTTTTTAATTACTGTCCATTGTTCTTCTAATTCGCCGGATACTGTGTTGTGAAAGGAACCACTTTGTTATAGGTGGAGAAGTTAAAATATTTGAGAAGATAACTATTTATACTTACGCAAAGTCAAAGTCACAATAATTTATCGTGATAACCATGATAAGGAACTTTTGAACATCAAAATAGAATAGTAGTCTGTCAGTCTGTTCGTTATTGAAGCTAGATGCTCGTTCCAAATTGTAGATTCGAATGGAAAAGAATGAGCAAGAAATGCAATAGTACCGCTTTAAGAAAAGTTTGACACATTTCACCAATACATTATTTAGCATACATAGTATATTATACATTATTGTACCCATATGTGAAAACAAAGCAATGTATTATTAATATAAAGCTGCTTCTTCAATAATCCTATCTATCAAAAAACCGCATCCAAATCCGTTGCGTAGTTTTAAAGATTTAAGCATACATAGGGATATCCCTAGGGACAGAGAAAGCGACTTTAGCTTATACTAAGTAGTGATTAAACTAGCTACTCCCGTGCGTTTTTACCCGCTGCTCACATCCAATTGGTCATAGCGTGCTGTTTTATAGCCTAAAGCCTTCCTTAATATACAGGTTATCTAACCCCAAAAAGAACTGCTTAATTAGAACCAGCTCCGAATCGAAAGAGAAGTAAGAAATTTCTTATTAGAATATACCTTCTATCATCTTCTAGAAGAACAATTCATATCACTTAACAAGCCCTAAGTAAGGTTTTAAGTACGCAATAAGTAAACACGTAAACCACTTCCCGTACAGCTACTTAGGAAGCCGTACAACATAGATGATATTTCTCACAATTCAATTACAGTATATCAAGAGTTCCATAGGATATCATATTATGTATTATCTTATGTAAGTGTTTGTACTGTGTACAATAGCCACTTTGAAGTGTAAAAATAACAAATACGAACGATTAACGAACGAACGACAAATTTTTTTTCTAGATAAGTCAAATGCTAGAGAAATGACTCGAAAAAATTATTCGTTCAACCATACTAACTATCAATCCCGGATATGTGGATTTTTTTTGTGATGGGAAAGTCACCAAATTCAAGACTTGAGAGCGTGTCAGAATCTTACTGACTAAAAACCCCCCGTTCCTTCTGCTGCTCTGGACCGAGGCCGCGGTGACTCATTGCGCTTACCCCGCAACCCCGGCTGAACATCAGCCCTATAAAGCCCCTCTGTGTGGTGGTCTACGCGCCGTACGCTCGGGTCTGGTTCTGGTCGGGCGGCGAGCTACCCTTACTCGCCGTCCGCAGACCCGCGCTTACGGTGGCCGGACATCGTCTCTTGGTCCCGGATTTGTGGATGTTAGTGCAATAATGTACGGTAGCTCCGGTAGAAGGTGCGGCATGATTTTTTAGTAAGTAAGAGTCTGACATTCTCACCACAGAACATACTACACTTATGGCAGGGGAAATTCAATTGGATGATTGCCCTTTGGTCTTTTGGAGCGCAAAAGATCGCAATTGAAGTTTTTATAGCATATAGGATTATAGGTGGTTGAAAATGTTACATTATTCTTTACAGTATTAAACATCAACTGTCAAGATGTGGCAATAAATAAGCATAGCAGTGTATGTTTTTATTTTAGTAACGGAAATCCTTGTGGCCACTCGAGATATTGAGTGCATTCATTGCTCAATGCATCGTTTATCATTGCATTCGTTAAAACACCGCGTCTGTAGGTACTTTTTATTGGACGCAATGCTGATACTAAATTTATCTTCTATTTTATGGTCGTTATAATACATATATACTATAATATTATAAAGAGATAAAATTTGTAACTTTGTATGTTTGTAAGTTTGTATGTAGGGGGTAATCTTTGGAACCGCTGGTCGGATTGCCAAAATTCTTTCAGTGATAGATAGCTACAATGCTCCTTAGTGCTATAGGTTATAAAACATCACGCTACGATTAAATAGAGCCGAGCAGTGAGTGAAACCGCGCGAGAGTAGCCAGTATAAAAAATATACTCTTCAATCATTATATCTATCAAAATCTGTTGCATAGTTTTAAAGATTTAAGCATACATAGCGATGTAGGGACCGAGAAAGTGACTTTGGTTTATACTATAGAGTGATCGTGAAGGGTAATGTATGCTGCTTGTACCGTGGTAAAAAATTAAGAGTCACTTAGTTCGGTACAATATATCGACAAAGACCGGTACAAAAAAAAAACAGAAATGGGCCTCCGGTAACCTCACTTACACGGCGAAACACAACGGTGTGGCTGTTTCACGCCGGTTTTCTGTGAGGCCGTGGTATGATTCCTGCCGAAGCTTGGCTCTCCCACACTTAAGAATAGGTATCGATCCTTGTTTCATAATATTTTTAATGGCATAAAACTTTGGAAGATGCTAAATAAGGGCATTTAGCAGTTACTTTCAGCATAAAGCAACAGTAACATTCATCTTCTCAATATTGATCAGAACCAAATTGCGAAACCACATTTTGCAAGCAGTCATTAGCGTAAAACGTGAATTGAACAATAAATACAATAATACATATCTACATACACAATACATCATTAAGGTATTGTTGCTCACTACGAAGGTAATCTGATGATTTCGATCAATGTGAACAAAAACCCTATAAATATCATATAAACGTGTTCGTTGATTGAAGATTGAACATAATTTATTTGAGCACATTAGTGTAGCCATTTGAACTACGAAAACAGCTTTTATGTCGTAGGGATTAGAGGCGGTCGACACTATGTGCGGGTGACTGTGCCTTTTACATTTTCGCTGTCGAAATTTTGTTATGTAGATGGCGCTGTCATCGAATAAAGTTCTAAGAGATCACATCACAAAGAATTTGTTTATTAAGTTTAAAGAGGTGGAAAATACGAATAAAGAAAAGACTAAGAAACTGTATATTTTGAAAACGACCAATTGTAAAATACGTCATTTTCAATCGCCACGAACAAAGACCTGAAAACGTATGATTGTGTTAATTGTTCTTAAATCTGTTGTTTTTTCAGCTAAAAGAAAAAAAGAAAAAAATGCCTTACACTTACACACACCGCCTGAAAAGACGGTGAGGTCATGTGGGGCTTGCACCCTCTAAAAAACTCAGCTTAATCTTCTGCCTTTTGGGGGAAGCCACGAGGACCAAAAACGACTTTCGTGACCTCTCCACAGTGGCTGGTCGCCTCCATCTATTGGCGATTCCACCTCAGCAGCAGCTCGTCATTGCACTAATACCTACCTCAACTAAGAACAACAAGGGCAATAATATGTGTTTTGTCATTAAGTTAAAATATTTCCATTATGACATTAGAAGAACGCAATGAAACTTTTAAAGCCAACCACTAATTACCTGGTGAAGTCGTTACTGATAGGGTTTAAATGACATTAAGTATCCCCGGAATGGCAATGGACACAAAACTGTCACTTGTTTTTTAGCTGCCTACTACCTACCTACCGTATGCCTACTGCCTACCGTAAATATTTGGTCGTTATGTGGAACTCATTCAGTAAAATCGTTTATCTTACCTGTTCCTTCAACTGCCTCTCCAACGCGACGATCCTGTCGTTTGCCTCATCTAGCTGCTGCATCAGGTTCTCCTTGTCCTGGAGCGACCCTGTTAGCCTTCTCTCCAGCTCTGACCTCTTGTCTGTCACCATCGCCAGCTCGGCTTTCAAAGATTCCAGACTTTGTACATGGTCCTAGGGGAAAAATGTTTAGTAATTAGAATTTCCACCAAGTATCATGTTAAACTAAGTTATTCGTTCATTCTCGACTTTTCCATTATGCTATTCATTTTTGTGTCTCTCGTTTTTTACACTATACTTAATTTTATCAAGTTTTGTTTAGGTAGCATTGATTTTGGTCACAATTAGTAATAACTTTTACAAAGTGACGTAAATTTTTAAGTCTCTAGATAAATTGCATTTGGATATTACCAAAACACTAGTCATACTAGTGAATTCCATATACCAAAGAGAAAGATAACTCTTAATAAGCGAGTAGGTACAATTTGCTTCGGAGAACTTGAAATCTTTGTGAAATTACCCACCATTAGGCCTTGAATTATACAATACTCATATCTGCTTTTACTTCTCTAATAAAAATAGACTTTGCTTGCGTAACTACCTCGCACCAATCACCGATTATCAATTTCTAAGGTTCAAACTTCAGGCTTATTAATTATAGTAGTGCAATTTGATTTGTTCACTTTAGACGGGGAGAAATTATTTAGTTCCACTTATTTGTAACTAATTTCACGAATACAATTATTGTTATTTACTGTAGTTGTTGGTATTTCGCAAATTTTTATTTCTTGGTAGCTTTAATATTTCTTCAACAGGTTTGATTTAGGAACATTTGTGTACATATTACTTACACACCTCTAATTTACCTTTAAATTCTTCTTCAATATTCAATAATAAAATGGACTTTTTAAATCATAATTATTTGGACATATCTGCCTCTTTAAACCAAGTCCTGTCTTCTGTAAAGACAAACAAACTGGTTGTTCTAAAACATACCTGTAAGCTGGTTTTCCTCATGGAACATTGGTCTTTCAAGCCTTCAAGTTGTGCCAGTAGACTAGCTTCGACTGCTGATGACTCTTTAAGTTGCACTGTGAGTCTGGAGTTCTGTGCTGTCAGCTCAGCAATAAGGCTCGCTTTTTCTTCATCTCGCTGTGAACAAAAAGTGATTTTTAATAAAGGAATGCGTATGGACCAACAGTGTGTGGATCATATAAAGAGTTTGGAGAAATGGAATCGGCGACATGTTGTAAAGCAGTGGCTGGGCAACTGGCTGCCGCGCAACGTGTCGCGGGTTCGATTCCCGCACGGAATAACTCTTTGTGTGATCCACAGATTGTTATTCCGGGTCTGGGTGTGATGTTGTATGTTTGTAAACGCACCCACGACACAGGAGAAATTCCTAATTTGGGGCAAAGTTTTTTAAATAAAAATAAGTCGTGTATTCTTTATCCTAAAGGGTAACAGTATCATTATCTATCACTAGCTAATCTTGCGCGGTTTCATCTATTGTTCGGCTCCTACAGATCGTTGCGTGATGTTTTATAGCCTATAGGCTTCCTCAGTAAATTGACTTATAAACAAAAAAGGAATTGTTCAATTCGAGCCAGTAGTTCTGTAGATTAGCGCGTTCAAACAAACTTTATCGGCGTCATTAGAAAACAATGTATTTCTTTAGTCTAGATCTAAAATAGTGAGCCAGTTTTTGTATTTTTCAAATTGTAGGTAGGTGAGAATAAGATTCAAAATACAAAACCTGACTCAATTGTTTAAACCTAGACTAAAAATAAATCTTGTTTCGTAATTTTTTTTAACAAAAAAACGTTGCCTCACTTTACGATTTTCTCCTGTGTCATGGGTGCTGTTACAAACATACAATTTGACATACACAAGACACCCAGACTCGGAACAACAATATGTAGATCACACAAAGAGTTGTTCCGTGCGGAATCGAACCCGCGACACGTTGCACGGCAGCCAGTTGCCCAGCCACCGCGCCGCACCAACCGTGCAGTCAATAATAAGTGACATAGGTTTCTAATATTAGTATAGGTAAACCGAAAGATCTTTAATTTTGAACATCGTTCACAAAAGGGCTAAACTACAAGACCTCAGATCACTTAAATTGAAACAACGCTATTAGCTTCCTTAAAGGATGTTAACAATCGCACTGTTATATAATTGAACATATATCATTATATATGTTAAGACATAAATTTATGAATAGAAAATTCATCAACATAACGCAACCATTTACGATCGATCGTAATAAATAAAATACAACACGCATCGCTAACCAATACAGTTAAATACAACACGATACAATACAAAAAATAGATAATTTCATAGATTATAAAAATTAACAAATTAGATACGTTACAAAGTGTAAATTATTTGGTATTTTTATTGAATTATTTGCCTTTTATTGTATTAAGAAAGTTATGGAGAAGATCGAATGTATAGATAGAACACAGAAGCGTTAATAATTTCGGTATTTTTTAATTGATACGGATTTACGCAGATAAAATATGAGTTCTTGTTGACTTCGTTGGACGATGGATGGAAATATATATGTTAAGAATGAAGTTTTAGGTTTTATTCTCGGGTCTGGGTAATTGGTAAGGTTTTATATTAAGTTATATCTGTGATATTGCCCTTAGATTTTAATTGTAGTTGTATTTTTATTTTAACAACAGACATATGTAATACTGGGAATTTCAATTACTACTTATAGGTATTGTGTATAGTATGTATATGAATGCCTTTCTTATTACTTGAAGGTTCTTTTTTACATATGTACTATACCAGTAAAAAACAGATTATTAAGAAAAGAAAACAAGAAAAATCAAAAGTTCAAAAAAAAAAACACACGTATAAAGGTGAACTCAATTCTATTTTTGCTGACAAAGGAAATGCCTATACAGCCTTAATGTGACCTCCTTCGAGTATAACCCAAATGACTCATTCCTGCCAGTACAGACGCACATAATACTACACCGAAAATTAAAAAAAAAACTTTAATACATTGAGAATCTTATGCCAAGGGTGTAAGGTACGAAATCTATTACAGGTAACTGGCAAAATAGTATAGTTTAAAATGCTGGCCATATATTAAGTTTTACATAGAAACCCAAGGTCGACACGTTTCATGGTTTTTGATACGTGAAATCACAAAAACGGCATTAAACGCGTTCAGGGGGCGTATTACAACCTTTTTAAAATCCAGTTTGTTTCCTGGCAGGTCAGTTTAAGGCCGTAAACTGCATGGTTCTTTTTCGTATTATGACGTACGTTTTTCTGACTGGATTCATCCTGAATGATTGTCTGTGGTTGGTTTGCACCGTCTTGAAAGATTGCGTTCGAAAACATCTTAAAAGGGTTACTGGTATATTACGGTTTTTGAAAATTGAATGTAATATATTATATAATGTAATTTCCTAACAGAATCGAGATTAAGAATGAGTTCAAAAACGAATTATGTATTATATGCGTAAGTACAATGTCATAAATATGAAAATACAGCACTGTCTCACAACATACATTTTTGACATACGCTACATTTCTGAACCTAAGTAATGGTAGGTAGGATAGGTGATAACAGCTCACCCGGCAAAAATAAAAGTTTTTTGTTATAATAAGGGTTTTTTAACTAATGTCAATGCCAAAAGTCCATTTATTTTATATACTTTGCTTGAATATGAGGTGAATTCAATAATTTCGTAATCTGCTTTATCACCACGGACACTGTAGGCTGCGCTACAGAGTGTGCAGATATATCACCAACAGGGCGTTGATACGACCCCGTAGCATAAAATGATAATGCAATTAACACCTGAAAGAATAATTAATTTGTAAGTTTATTGATTTCATTAACAGTACACATACCCAAGATACAGAATCTAAGACTAAGTAATGGCTAAATCTATTATAATTTGAACAAACTCTAAAATTACCAACCTTCCTTTCAATTGGTAAATCCGACGACCTTGTAGACCCAGTAGCTGCATGAGGTCGCAGTTCATCGCATAAGTTGTGGACTAATTGTTTATTAAGCCTGTATCGCTTAATAAATTCAACATCTCCAATCGCAAAACGGTCACTAAGATCTCGAAGACGCGTCCTCTGAATGTTTGTTTGGTGGTTATCTTGTGACGCATCACTTTCAAGAAACTCGAAGATTATTAACTCATCACACATATTTAATGTTGTAGTAAACAGTATGTGATAAAAACTTAAAACAATTCAGTAAAAGCTACTCGACACCGGCGTAAACTGACTGGTTTGTTTGACACAATTTTTGACATTTGAGTAAGCTAAGAAATATCAGTTTGGTGGTCATAATACGGGTTTGCCAGCCAATATACGTGCAGAAATCGGTCAAGTGTCACGTGGCTGCTAACTGACTGGCAATAAGACGTCATAATACGGATAAACAAGGCAGTTCATTTTAAGGTGTAAATTGACTGGAATTAAGAGATCGTAATACGCCCCCAGGTTACTTTAGTTATGGCCGCGGAAAATTATTGTATTTATGGATTCGTTATTTATAAACCGGAACATTGAATGGCAGATAGAACTATATTGATATTGGTTTATTAGAAACTAGCTTCTGCCCGCGTGATATGTTGATAAAAGTCTATGTTTTAGTCCAGCGTAACCAAATCCAGATAGGAGCCAACTTAGCTAATGCTTAGACGGAGCCGCGGGTCAAGCGCATTATGATACCATGGCCTCGACCTCGGGAAGGAGAAGGGGGGTTTAGTCAGTAAGAGTCTGATGATCCCTCTCGAGAGAAGCCATTTGATGATTTTGCCTCCATAATCTATCAAATAAGTCCATCCATTTCTCCCATTTTTTTTTCTCCTCCTCAAATAATATCTACTGATTTATTTCATTTCGGGATCTAAGACAGTCATTCATATCCCTGGGACGCGCCGGACTTCAGTGTTCCGGTGTTTTCATGGTTGTATCTACTGTAGATCCTGGCTTACAGAAGTTGCAGCGGTTTTGGGGGGTTGCGGCGGGCTTGTTCCATTAAATAAAAAGGTCCATCCATTTTACTCATTAAAAATTAATTATGACTTAGATTTCTTTGCTGAGGATTAGAAGAGTGAACGCGGCTCGGGTTTCCTTAGAAATTTCATGACTAAAAACATGGAAACTACTAAGCCGATTTTAATGAAACTCGGTAATCATTCGCAATATATCTAGCCTATAGCTTGGGGTTCAATAAATTAAGTTTTTTTTTAGAAAAAAACGTTGCCTGCACTAGGATTTTCTCCTGTGTCGTCGGTGCGTTTATAAACATTCAATTTCACATACACATCACACCCACACCCGAAGAGAGTCTGACACTCCCTCCCGCCCGGCCCTGGGCGGGAGAAGTCATTTGCTGATTTTCCCCTCACAAAAAAAAACCCAGACCCGAAACTACAATTTATGGATCGCACAAAGTGTTGTTCCGTGCGGGAATCGAACTCGCGACACGTTGCACGGCAGCCAGATGCCCACCCACCGCACCAACCGTGCAGTCAAAGATCAGTAAGATTGTCGAGGAAAACTACGTATCCAGTTATCGAATGCAATTACAAAAATAATTGTGAAATTGAATGTTAAGATAACAAATCAAATGATTTCTGCGAATCACTTAAAACTTAACTAAAAATCGCGGGTTACTAACGTGTACATATTGAGAAAAGCTCTACTAGTTTCGCAGCGACGCGGCGACGTAGGCTGCGCGACGTCGCCGCGTCCGCGCACGCACAAGAAACCCTCTGTGGTTCGAAACTAGTAGAGCTTTTCTCAATATGTACACGTGAGTAACCCGCGATTTTTAGTTAATTTAGTATGTCTCACGATAGTTATTATAAAAACACTTAAAACTTCTTTATTTACACGTGTCAGTTAAACCAGAAATGAACCGCTGAATTATCTAATCGTGTTTTTGATATACGGAACCGATAAATCCAGATTTGGCTGTAAAAACTAGCGAAACAAATTAAAAACAGGTGTGGACATAAGCACTAAAACCTATCCTAATTTTGACGAATTCTTCAAATCATTTTCATCAGTATTGTAAAATGGTTTAGGTTGAAAATTGTTTAACAGTTTAAGATAGCTTATAACGCAGATACCCGATAAAATCAAATATA